TTCAAGTTACCAACATGTTGTTACTGAGTGCAGAACTAGAAAGAGATGTGAACAATCAGCTCTCAAGAGCTGGAATGAACTGGCTTCGACAACACATCACTGAATCTAGGTGAAGGTCACTGGAATTAAATAGATACCCTAATCACAAAGCTATCCTGTTGGATGAGCCATGTACTGTGGCTATTGAAATCCAGGATTATGGCATGAATTTGGTATAGAAGCGTTTGAACAAGGTTCCCAAATCTTCCTTGAATAAAGAATTGGAGAGTGGTCATTTGGTAAGAATTCGTAAGAGTAGGTTTTATCAAAGCCTGGGGTTGGAGGGGCAGGGAGGGATATTGTCAAGGAAATTAGTGGAAGTGTTATTCAAATACCTTCAATTAACTCTCCTAGCTGATTTATGTAAAGTAAAACTCTGGTTTATGTTTATGTGAAGTAAAGCTCTACATGATTCAATATGTGTGGGGTTCCAGTTATAAAGGAATAATTCAATAACCAAAAGTAGTTGATGTAGAGGCTGCTTTGAGACAAACAGGTGGTTAAAAGGTTTGAGCAATGGAATACAGACAGGCCCATAAGGTGACCCACCTCAAAATATCCATAGGCCCTAACTAACCAATGGGCTGTTTACAACTCAGCACAGTTACCAAAAAAAAATTCCATACATCACCATCCTCAGCTTCCCCCTTGAAAGCAGCCCCCACCCACTGCCCCATGGCCGACAGTCTCTCCTCTGCTGTCCTGCCTGCCACTCCCAAATTTCTATCTTTTGTTCTGCCTCACTAGAATTCTTTTACCTCCTGCAGCCTGTGCCCCACCAGCTTCCACGGGATTGGCTGATCTAGAGACACCCCATTTAGACACCACAGTTGATAGTAATTCCAATCAAGCAACAAAGAAATCCGATATCCATAATTCACAGTAATAACTTCCATTTTTTACTCACTATATTTCTCACATTCTAAAACCCCTTACCCTCCTGTTAAAAGAAAAATGTCCATAATTTACTGATCTTCTGGCTTTTATTCAGCAATTCATGAATCGGGCAGCATCCAATCTAGCAGATAGAAAAGGTCTCCCAGAAGCTGTATAAAATGAGAGACTTTCACAGGCACAAGGAAGCAGACACAGGGAAGTCATACTAGGTAGAAACAGATTGGTTACTGCAAGGTTACTTTCCTTACATGGAGCAAAGGGAAGTCTCAGAGCCAGGTTGGGGAACTTGTGTTGAACAGGGAAACACAGATTACTTGCCGAGGCCTGCCTTTTCTGGGAGAACCAAGCATAGAAATGTAGTTAAATTTTGGGTTACTGACATGAGTCTTAGCTCTATGTTGGGCCTAATCTGGTTGCTTTGACACTTTTTCACCCTACTCTCAACTCTCTTGGAAAACTTCCCATTTTCAATGGGAAATTTCCCATTTTTACCTGACAGAAGTTCAGAAACTGAACTTGCTAACTCAGAGCCCAGAGTTTACAAATGGGACATGAGATCCTGGATGTTATGGAGTGCAAACAGAAGATACTATTTTGTTTGTAACTGAGGGTTTCACAGGTGGTTAAAAATAATTGGTCAAGGGTAGACAAAGAGCTAGGATTCTCCTACATTGCTGGTAAAAGGTTAAATTTGTACGAGTTTGAAAATATGTTTGGAAGTACTCCTAAAACCAAATATATGCATACCCTGTGACTGACTCAGTGGTTCTTCTCCATCAACAGTAGAATGGATAAATTGTGGCTTATTCATTCAACGGGATACTCTACAGCGATGAGAATGAATGAACTATTGTTTTACATCCAAATGGATGAGTCTTACAACTATAATAAATAATATATGATATAATGGCAAATAAAATAATTGGCAAAAGAAGTCTCAAAACGTTATGATTCCATTTATAAAGCTAAAAAAAATGGCAAACCTAAACTACAGAGTTAGAAGTCAAGAGACTTGTTCCCTTTGCAGGAGGTAATAAAGGTGGTGAAGAAAAGAACCCTTGAGCTACTGATAATTGTTTCAGATACTAGTTATAGGAGGATAGATTTTTTGTGAACCTCTATCCAGCTGTACAGTTATGATTTGTTTGTTTTTCTTTATCTGATATGCTTCAAAACAAAGTTTTTAAAAAGTAGACTTCCTGTTTATAATAATGGCAGTCTGGGTTATTCTACAGGCTCTTTTGTTAAAAAGATCTAGATAATGAAAGGTTGATGCTTTTAAGGAGAAATTTTTACTATTTTATCTAAGAGTTGACAAAGGATTAAGGAATAGATTCAAAAATGAAGGGAAAATCTGGTCAGGCATTCTAGCAGAAAGCCATTTTTAAGCTACTTTGCCCTGAGGGCATTTGTCTAGCCCAAACAAAAAGAGCTTTGATTGCCTTATAGAAGAAAGATGACAGAAAAGAGGGCAGAGACCTTGAAAAGCTGGAGTTTTTGCCAAAAGATCCTCCCCAAATTCAGCTTGCTTGGCCCAAAGTAGAGCTGCTTTATCTAGGATGCAGCCCAGGTTCTAAATGAAGTGTTAGGGAAAGGGGCAGGGTCTGACAGTGGAAGCAAAAGGGGAGCAGGAGGGGAGTAGACTTTTTGAGATGTTTGCCTCGAGTGGGGTAGATCTGGTCAAATGCACTGTTCTTCTGGGAAGCTCTTTTTCCTGGTCCTGTGGCTACAGAATGTGGGCTTTTCTTGGAGCATTTTGGTCTGTGCCCATTGGTGTTTCTGGATTAGGGAGCTCTCCTGTGCCCAGGCCTGGATATACTGGAGACAGACAAAATCCCAGGGAACTCAACACCCAAGGTCGATAGCCAGTTTGTCTTCTTTTCTTCACCTTTATGCCTTCTGTCACTTGCGCTATGGATTTTGTCGAGGTTTATTTGTTTGTTTGTTTCATTATTAGCAGGAGGACTAATAGGGTGGCATGTGCTTATTTCATCTTGACAGGACCAGAAACGATTCAATAAATTCTATATTGACTCCATATTCTATATTCCAATTTTGTCAGTTGTCCCAGTAATGTGTTTTATGGCATTATTTTGTTTCTGGTACAAGATCCAGTCCAGCATCATGAATTGCATTTAGTTTCCATGTCTAGTTTCCATCTATAATAATTTCTCAGTCTCTCACTTGTCTTTAAAGATACAAAAACTTGTGAAAAACAAAGGCCAGTTGTTTTTTAGAATGTCTCTCATTCGGGTTTGTCTGATATTGTTTCCTCATGATGAGATTCAGGTTATGAATGAAAAAAAAAAGTCTTTTTTTAGAGAGAGTGTGTGCAAGTGGGAGAGAAGGGCAGAGGGAGAAGGAGGGAGGGAGGGAGGGAGGGAG